TTTATCTCTCTTCATTTCTTACTCTTGGACCGATCTCCCACAGACTAAGCGATTTACTGTACAACGTAGAGATGCAATCTGTACAGGCCTCAGGCAGTCAGACCTGCTCTCCAGTGACAAAGCCCTAAAGGCAGGGCTCCTGAAACAGCCTGGCTCACAGTCCGTCCATCCCCCCCCACACCAGCTTCCTACTCAACCACGGGTCTCCGATGGCCCCCACCTCATTCAGACACCACACAGGACTCATTCTTTGATTTGCCCCCACCCTCTGCAGGGCCTGAGTGAAGACGTGAGCATCAGCAAGTTCTTCGATGATCCTATGTTGCTGGAGCTCGCCAAGCAGGATGTGGTACTCAATTACCCCATGTGATGCCAGGGCGCCTAGCAGCTCCTGCTCCCTGCAGTGGGCTGCACCCTGGACTGGAAGCTGGGACCTCCTGTGACTTGGACTCCATGTTGTCAGAGTGTCTGAGAGCTGCTGTGCCGTCTTGAACAACCCAAGAGCCTCTAACCCAGAGCCCAGGGAGGGAGGCCCATTCGGCCTCCTGGTTCCTTCTGTGGCCTGTGCCTGGCTCTCTTCCCAGGGAACAGAGAGGAGTCTGGCTCAGGGAAGGAGGAGGGGATGAAAGTGTTTAACCCCAGGAGGCCCTGTCCTCAGAATTTACATGGAATTTTTTTTTACAAGTCTGACCTTAGACATGGTTTATAAGTGAATAGAATATTCTGACCTCTGCCTTTCTCTATTGCTTTCATTCAACCCTCCACCCCCTCTCCTCCAGCACAGTCCAGTCCTGGCCCTTGGGTTCTAAATCTATGTCGTCTCCCATGAGGTTTCACTGCCTCTGCTTCCAGCTGCAGCCTTCTTCCTGCCTGGGTCTCCAGGGAAGCAGCCTTTTATTTATTTATTTTAAATATATTTTTATTGACTTTTTTTACAGAGAGGAAGGGAGAGGGATAGAGAGTTAGAAACATCGATGAGAGAGAAACATCGATCAGCTGCCTCCTGCACTCCCACCTGGGGATCGAGCCTGAAACCAAGAAACATGCCCTCCACCGGAATCAAACCCAGGACCTTTCAGTCCACGGCCCAACGCTCTATCCATTGAGCCAAACTGGTCAAGGCAGGGAAGCAGCCTTTTAATCCAGTGTTCCCATGAGCATGGAGGCGACTTATGCCCCGACTCCATTCCTGGCGTCCTGTCTACCATGCTTTTCCAGGTGGGCCTGAGCTGGCTTGGGAATTGTTGGGTTTCTGGGATCGGAGGTCTGCTGCACCTCTCTGTCTGCCCCACTGAGAGTTTCTGTTGCCCTGAAGTTCAGAGCCACAACTCTGATCTCCAACCCTTTGCTCTAAGCTCCCCCACCAGCCACTGCCAATCCCTTCATCTCCTATCCCAGGTGAAGAAGAGACTGTCAATTTTCTGCACAATTCCTTTATTAGGAACATACCAGGGATTGCTGTGAGAGGGTCTGACTGCCCTTGGCTGTAGAAACCTACTTCTCCCCCGCATCCTGTGTTGCTCTCTTGATATAGTCTCTGTACATTGTGTACACAGCACCTGTGTGAGGGAGAAAGAAAATACCCCTTAGCAGCGAAAGCTTCACCCAGCCTCTGATGCCCCCGGGGTCTGGCTCCAGCCCATCCCTTGAGAGTCCAGCTTTCTGCCCTCGGGCTCAGCAGCTGCTACAAGCACCTGACCACACAGCCTGGGAAACAACCCTTTTGACAATTTGCAAAGCATTGTAAGTGCATTTCTATCTAAGAAACCTCAAGGCAACCTGTGATTCGGCCAGAGGTGGTTATCACATTACACATGGGGAAACCAGGGATCAGTGAAAGGGATTTGTCCCTTGTCATACAGCCAGTAAGTAGCTGTCTGCCTTTTAATCCAAAGAGGAAGAGACATTCAGCCTCTGGGTGCATGGTTTTTCTCACCTCTGGACAAACTGCCATGAAGCAGACCACATTGTCCCCACAGGCCTGGGACCGGAGATGAAACGGAGCCCTGGCAATGTCTCGGTGTGGGGGCTTCACCAAGGACTTGATACGGAGCCTTGTATTGGGAATAGGGCCTGAGATCATGGTCCCTTAACTGTCAGAACTCCCAGCTCTCATTCTGTGACGCCACTCACCTAGCATGATGGCACCCACAGCACAGGCCTGCGCTGCCACTCGGGTATGAATCAGGTGTATGGACATCTTGGTGGAACCGCGAGCCTTCAGCCGGTAAATCCTGTAGGCTGCCACCACTAGGCAGCCTCCTAAGCCTGTAGTCAGATAACATGATCTCTGGACCTCATCTACCCAGCACATCACTCTTGATGAGAGACACTAGGAAGACTGGGCATCTGGATGAGAAGCTGCACTGGTCGGGGTGGGAGGGTTATTAGATGACTGAGGTTTCCTCTGGATGGCATTTTCAAAGTAGCTGCCCCCCTCCAATGAGTCCCTTCCCCCACATACAAATAGCCCATCATCAGGACTCCCCTACCCCCATTAGGCCCTTCTCCAACCACCTTGGCTCCCACATCTGTTACAGCTGTTTTCCTACTTTCCCAAGGCCTAGAGGAAGGAAGCCCTAGGGGACCCCAAACCGCTCCTTCCCCTCCTGACTGGTGTTTCGCTATATCCCGTGCCCTCAGTTGGCCGCCACCTCCCCCCAGCCAGACTCCCTCGTTTCATTGTAAGGCGGTGTCCCTTTATCTTCTGGCCCCTCTGCTACTGGTTCACTCTTCTAGCTGTTGATTGTTCAGTGGGTAGGACCAGTGGAGTTCTCTGCTTTGTTCTTTGAAAGGACTGGGAGAGAGGTTCTCTAAGAGAAGGCCCCCCATCCCCTCCTTTCCCCACTCACCTATAGGCACCAGTGGAGACTCCCTGGTCTTCCTCAGGAACTTCTCAGACACGCTGTCTTCCCCTTCGGGTGGCACCCACCAGCCTTTGTTGGCGGACATGGTCCTGCCCCCAGATGTTGGCAGCAGGGTTCCTAGGCTTCAGCCCAGCCCTAGAAGGAAGCACCCCACAATCAGGACTCCAGTGCTCCTCAGTTTCGGGTGGAAAGGAGAAAGTTGCCTGCTGAGACCTCCTCACCATTCCCTACAGCCACTACTTAAAAAGATGTCCTGCTTCAGATGGCTGGACCACTAGCGCCATTTCTCCAGCTTAATTTCTCTCGTCCCCAGCGCGTTCTGACTTCACCGTTTTCTCTGCTTCCCCTTCCCCCATCGGCATCCCTGTGGGTATCATCCTTGGGCCAAGAAAAGCAGCTGGAAAAATCCACAGATGAGGGTGGGACGAAAAGGCCTTGAGCCTTGGGACCCCCCCCTCCTCCCCTGGTCTTGAGTTTGTGACAGTTACTCCTGAGGGATCCACAGAGCAGGATCCGGCCCCAGGGAAACAGGGCCATCCAGTTAGCCATGGTTACCCAGCCACCAGAGCCGGAGAGTAAAACCATGGACTGGATTTGTGTATACTTTAGCTTACGTTCCAGACACCTCCGTCCTGGGCGGTGACCTTGTCCTACTTTCTAACCCCTGTAAATGTCGGCTCTGATCACAACTTCGATGGAGTCCCAGCATCCTGGTCCTTACACCAGGGGTTCTGCCTGTGGGCTGCTTTCTAAGTCTGATCATGAAACAAACTCCCTGCTTGAGGCAACTTCGATGCGTGGCTGTCCCTCCTCTCCCCGAGGAGCAACAACCTTGGGCCGATAGGTCCTCGGCATGCTGGTGCTTACCGCAGGAGGTGGCCTGGACGTGGACTGAGCAGCCGGGCCAGGGCTCAGCGTCCGTTTTGAACTGGCCAAGAGCCGATGATGAAGCTGCCACGACGGGGTCAGGGAAGCAACAGCGGGCTTTATGGAGACTTTGAAGTCAGGAATGGAGAGGGGAGGAGATAGGACAGGGCAGCGGTCTTAACCCCCCATCTGCTGAGCTTCAGGATGGACTCCAGGCACCGGAGAGGAATGAAAGACCAAATGGAACAGGGCCCTTAGCCAGGTTTAATATTTTAATTCTCATGGAAATAAGTGGCCGGATCAGAGATGGACTTGATATGGAGAACAGAGATGGAAATAGAGAAGCAAAGACGGGGAGAGCTCCTGGGTTCTTCCTTGAGCTATACGGCCTCAAATATTCTTATGAGCAATGTGAGATGTAAATTTAATGCTCCAATTGTGGGAGGCAGGCTGTCTGGTCTTGGTGTCAATACCTTCAAGGATGCTTCCTGGACCAAGGAGATTTGTTCAGGAGTTTGAAGCAACTGGGACTTCGCTCACATCTCCAGAGCTCTTTATACTGCCTCGGGGTTTACAGAAATGACAATTACCAGCATTGGTGCCTACTCTGTTTTGGTATTTATGTTTCAAACCTCTCTACTATATGGTAAGTAGCAGTTTGTTTACAGACCAGGGAATTGAGCTTCTCCAAGGCTAAATGGTTTGTCCAAGGGTACACAGCTAGGAAATGGCAGTGCTGAGATCTGAACCCAGGTCTGGCTGGCTCCAAAATGTGTACTCCTATTGTTGTCCAGTGGGTATCCCTGGACAGTTACTCTGCTTTCCAGTAGGCTGGCCAAGCTGAAAACCTCACCAGGTTGATACTGAAGCTTAGGATTGCTCATTGATCATCCAGCCTTGATTAGGAAAAGGAAAGTACCTAGTACCTTACGGCTACCCAGAGGGAGAAAATGTGGAATACACTCTAGAGAGCCCCCCTTCATCCCAAGCCTTTGTTCCTTCCCTAGGTTACTCTCAGCCCCAATGTGTCTGTCCTAACGGGGCTTTTCTGCACTGGAAATTTGTCCAGCAGCTGATGTCTCTCTCTCTCTCTCCCCAGCACTCACTGCTCTAGGAAGAGACCCAGGGTCACAGCAACTCCCCTGGGCCTTTCACATATCCCCAGCGTCCATGGGAACTCTCCTCCCAGTCATTCACACACTCTTCCATGCTGCCTTTCCTGATCCCAACAGTGCCCTGAATTCTCAAGAGGAGGAGGATCCTGTCCAGAGGTGGGGAGGGTGGGCGGAAATGTCTGGATGAGATGGCAAGAGTCAAGATCAACTCCTAGCCCTTTAGAGAACAGGGACTAAGCTCTAGAGAGTGAAGTTCAACTCCCTGTTGAGATCATGTTTGATGCTCCATAGCATCCCAGCCCAGAACTGAGAAAATAATAATAGTTGCTATGATTTACTGAGCACCTAGGAACCAAAAAGTGTGCTAATGGCATTAAGTAGATTGTTTTACTTAATCCTTACAATAACTATGAAGAAAGTACTATTACTATTATTCTCCCCATTTCACAGATGAACAAACTGAGGCTTGGGTTAAATGTCTTGCCCAAGATCACAGTGAGAAAAAGATCCAGACTTCTCACCATTCCTAAAATCAAATCTCACTACTCTGGACGAAGAGGAGAATGACTGTAAAGTGGAGAGGAAGTCCCAAAATAGAAGAAAAAATTTATTTTCAAAAGTTTCTGAGAACACTCAGAAATCTTTAAGGAACAAATTTCTGGAGCATCCTGCTTTAGTACACAGATAAGATAAAATTATGATAACATTTTTGTTAATATTCCAAGTCTTTAATAATTATTTTGGTTTCAGCATTTCTACATCAGTAATTTGCTTAGTAAACTTCTTCCTTCCAGAGTAGGTTACACGGATAGAAATTCTATTTTACAAGGTTTTAAATGAATGATGCTGACAGACTTAGGGGATCCAGAGTGTAGGCCGGAGTTAGATGTGGGGTCAGTTAACTGCTTGACCAACCACCCTCTAAATACTTGGCCTTCTGCCACTCAATTTCTGTGAGTCTATATCATCTGTAAATGGACATAGTAGGTACCCATAGGATCATCGTAAGGGTTAAATAAGATGATTGTTAGAAATCCCCCCGCACACTGCCTGCTCCTCCTTCTCTAGAAGGAGAAAGTGGCAGGGAATGGCTAGCAGGCTGGGAGAGAAGTGGCAAGTCCCTGATAACAGATGGGAAGGGCACATGTTCTGGATGGTCCACAATGCAGCACACCCTTTCCTGTCCCTCTCCAACTCCTCCCTGCCTCCTCTTGCTGGGCTCCCCCACCCTGCCTGTAAGCTTCAGGCTCCCTATTCTGTTGGGGGAGGAAAAGGGGAGACTAGGACTTGAAGCTCCACACAATCTAAGGCACAGCTGAGCTATATATAGCTCAGGGGAGTTAAGTGACTAGACAGGGGAAGGGAGGATGTGCAGCTTTTGCCTTGAGCTCTTGAGCTACAGAGCGCTGTGAGTGGGGGATGACAAAGAATGAATTGGACAAGGAACAGAGGGTGCTCCAAGTTGGGGTTGGAATGGAAAGAACCTAGGCTGAAGGGGGGTCGCAAGGGAGAAAACAGGCTATATACGAGTGTCTCGAGGACTACAACGGCAGAGAGTGGGAACAGGCAGGGGCGGTGGAAGCTTCCAGATATGTAGCGAGGCTGAGGCAGCCTCTAAAAGTGCTTGAGGTGGGGAGGGCAGCACCTCCTTCCAAACACAGGCACTGAGTTCCAAGGGCCTTGCAGCAATTGTCCAAGGACAGTCCCAAGAGCCACAGGCCTGGGGCCAGGAAAATATTTTTGGTGCCCACTATCGCGGGGCAGGCCGGGCTTCCGGTGGCCAACAGGGAGCTTTCTCAAATCCTACCTCTCCGGGGAGACCGCTCACATATTTGAAGAAATTCTAAGAGGGTGTGGATAATGGTGATTAGAAGGCTGAATCAGACTGAGGGGATGCTGATGTTACAGAATCATGTCTTGTGAAGGAACGGTTCTGAGCTGCAAAAGACACCAGTAGAGACCACTCTCAGATGACAAATGGATGCAGAGATGTGAACTGTTTGGCGAAGGTCCTTGTGTTGGATGCTTTTGAATACCCACAGACCCAGCTTCCTCTCAAGCACACGATGGGAAGGATCTACTTGTTAGGTCTGATCAAGTAATTGAATCGATGCCCCTCCCCTGGGAAACTGACCTTTAGATCATTTCTCAGCTGACATTCCCTTTCACTCAGACCACATTCCATGTGCTAAAACCAGTAACTTTCTTTTTAAAAAAAATTATTTATTATTATTTTTTTAATCCTCACGGAAGCATATCTTTTCCCTTGATTTTTTAGAGAGTGTGGAGAGGGTGAGAAGAGAAGGGGAAAGAGAAAGAGAGAGAGAAGTCAATGTGAGAGAGACACTTTGATTGGTTGCCTCCTGCTCACACCTGGACCAGTCGGAACCTGCAACTGAAGTATGTGCCCTTGGCTGGGAATCAAACCCACGACCCTTTGGTCCGCAGGTCGACACTTTAACCACTGAGCCAAACCCGCCAGGGCAAGGCCGATAACTTCCCCTTTGGGACTTGCCCAGGATCCGGACCACCCAGAGAATTCCCCGCCTAAAAAGCCCGCCTAGAGACCTTTATTTTTTTTAAAATTATTATTCTTTTTAATCCTCACCCGAGGATATTATTCCATTGATTTAGAGAGTGTGGGAGAGAGAGGGAAAGACCGAGAGAAACATTGATGTGAGAGAAACACATTGATTGATTGCTTCCTGCAGGAGCTCTGTCAAGGGCCCACGCCCAGAGAGGAGCCTCCAACGGAGGTACATGCCCTTAGCTGACGCTCTATCCACTGAGCTAAACCGACCAGGGCTCGCCCAGAGTCCTTTAAAATCTGACTCCCTGTTCCTGGGTGCTGGCATCATTTTAGGTTTTCCAGATGACCTAAGAAATTTATAATTCTCTACCCCCCTTTGGCTTCATGAGTACCTCTTTCCGAGACCCTAACACTACTGTCTTGAAAGCCTACAACAGTGGTTCTCAACCTTGGCTGCACGTTAGAATCACCTGGGAATCTTTTTAAAATCCTGATTTCTGGGCCCCATCCTCCGGAAATTCTGTTTCTTTGTTACTAATGTTGTGGCCCCATCCCATAAGAAAGAAACAGAATTTAACCCCATAACAAAGAAACAGAATTTCCGAAGGACAAGGCCCGGAAATCAGGATTTTAAAAAGATTCCCAGGTGATTCTAACGTGCAGCCAAGGTTGAGAATCACTGCTTTACATACTCAATCCTTACAATAGTCCCATCAGGTGGATCTCATTATCCCCATTTACAAATGAGGAAAGCAAAGCTCAGAGAGGTTAAGTAACTTAGCCAGGTCACACAAGTAAATGGCTGAGCTATTTAACCAATAGTGATAACCACTATAAACCACGTGACAATAGAAAATGAACAATAACTAATCATGTAATTTCACGTACATCTCATCATCTCATTCTCACACCATCGTAGAAATATGAGTAAATGAGTGCAATCAGCTGGACAGAGGGGGCTTCTGAACCCAGGGCCTCCCAGGCCCTTCTTCCCACCCCAACTCTGGCACCGACTTCCCCTGCCCATTTGCACGTAAGCTGATCTTAATTTAAAAGTCAGCATTAATGCACAAGAAACTGCTCACCAGGCTCTGGGAAACACTGTTAGGGGCTCATTTGATTGTTCCTTCTATGCTACTTAAAATTGCCCTAACGGTTAGGACCTAACCGGTTTGGCTCAATGGATAGAGCATTGGCCTGCGGACTCAACGGTCCCAGGTTCGATTCTGGTCAAGGGCATGTACCTTGGTTGCAGGCACATACCCAGTAAGGAGTGTGCAGGAGGCAGCTGGTCGATGTTTCTCTCTCATCGATGTTTCTAACTCTCTATTCCTCTCTGTAAGAAATCAATAAAATAAAAAGAAAATTGGCAATGGGGGGGGGGATAAGGACACATATATAATACCTTAATCAATAAAGAAAAAAAATCAAGCTAAAAAAAGAAAAAGAAAAAGAAAATTGAGCCCTGGCCGGTTTGGCTCAGTGGATAGAGTATGGGCCTGTGAGCTGAAAGGTCCCAGGTTCAATTCCGGTCAAGGGCACATGCCGGGGTTGTGGACTGGATCCCCAGTGGGGGACTTGCAGGAGGCAGCTGATCAGTGATTCTCTCTTATCATTGATGTTTCTATCTCCCTCTTCCTTCTTCTCTGAAATCAATAAAAATATATTTTAAAAAATTGACAAAAAAATCTGCTTCAGCAGTGTAATCTCTCACAGGTTAACTGGAACTGCTGGGGATTATGGGGAGGAGTTGCGTTACTAATACTCCGCCCCCTCTCCCCCCATTAGTAGAGTCATCAAGAGCTTTTTTAACAATTCTCTTTATGGGCGGGGAAGGCGGGGCTTCCGGCGGCCAATAGGGAACTTTCTCAAATCCTACCTCCCGGGGCCTCTGCCCCCATCCCTCAGCACAGAAGAATCTGCTCTGAGTCTACCAGCCAAGTGGAGACCCTGGAAAACGTGTAATGGAAACAGTGACACACTGCAGTCTTCAAGTTGACCCTACAGTTCCCAAACCACAAAGCCCCAGGGTGAGTCTCAAAGTTCTCAAATGGGTTTTGATCTTTTCCTGCCTGGGCCCCATGTGAGTACAAAGCGATGTTCTCACAGCGCTGGGCTCCGCTAATCCCTGCCAGAGGCTGGAAACTAGACCCATTTCCTGGTATGAAACCCGCTTTTCTCTTTCTTCCCTCT